GGGAAGGTGCTTGTTTCACATGTATGGTGTGCACAGTCGCTGAAGCTGATCAAGTCGAAGAGCAGGAAATTTAGGCAGCAGGGCTAAAGATTCACCCACCTCCCTTTCCCATTAGGGTGAGTCATCAGCCTTCTTAAAGTTAGATGAGGACACATGCTGCCTCTTCCTAGAAACGGAAAGCAGCATTTGCCTGAAGATAAAAAGCAGGCTGCCAGAGTCTGGAGGAAGCAGCAGCTGCTGCCTGTGAAGCAGGGGTGGGGTGTGGGGAAAGAACAGCTGTGCACTTGGGGCAAGGAGAGCTAGCTAATCCACATCAGCATGCCTCCAAGCCAGGCAGCACCTCCCCATACACACTCCTGTCCTTATCACTGGGAAGGGATTGACCCCCTAGCCTCTGTGTAGAATCAGCATATATAGGAGTTTCTCCACCACCTCCCCGAATGAGGTTAGCTATGCCAGATGCAGTCTGCCAGTGGTGCTAGTTTCATCTACACTGGTAGCTTTGCTAGCAGAGCGAGGGCACCTGTGTTGTCTGAGTTCTTCCCTACTCCTAGCCCACAGCTATACTGGCAACACTTAAACAAGGCCCAAGAGAGCATCAACCTTCCCCTATCTTCCTACCTATGCCAATTCTTGGATTGGGACCAACATTAGCAGACTGCCAGAGACTAAACACTCCTTGCACACTAGCAGTAGTGTAAACCCAATTATTGAAATAACTTTTCCCTATGAATAACCCTACACCCTCAATCCCAATCTTGAGTGTGGTCACAATCTGTGAAGCTGGTGCCTAAGTCACCCTGTAAACAGATGGCAGAATTAACTGACCGCTGAACAGTTTGGTAGACTCTTTGCACTTTGGCCCTGGCCTACATCTAAACAGTATGGCACATATCTACTACACCGAAGTTGCCAAATGAAATGAACATTCACAGGATAGGGGAAGCCTATTGAGAAACCCAGTGTCCCAGATGTGTACTCTTCCAAATGTATTCGGCCCAGCTCAAGCTTGTACATTTGAGTTGTATATTCTAGACTTTTTAAAAAATATTCCCTTGCTTGCTTCCAGCAGGTTATTCTTCACTTAGACGTTAAATTAGGATGCCAATGTTCAATTTTACTGCAAACTAATTTGTGAAGCTCAGATGAAATAGGCTGCAACAAAAGTACAATTATTCATCCAAAGGATATCCCGAGAAACTATATTGATTTGATAGAAGCGAGTCATTACAACAGCAAATGTATTACTATCTGTGGACATCTACATCTTAACATCCTACTTCTTCACAGCAGTGGTCACTATTAAATTATTTGCCACAGCTGTATCCAAGACACTTGAATCTTAAGTGTACAGATGTGTTTTGGTCTCATGGTAGTTTACAATAGTCTTATTCTAGCTGAACATCTCTTTACCATCTCTAAAAAGGCAAAATTCAAAATGAATGCTTGGTAACCTGACCTGAACACCACATTGTCAGGCACCCAATACCTTCCTGAAACTAGGTATCATGGAGACTGCTGCATATGGGTCTGAATTTCAGAGACCAAAAAGATCTGCACCCTCCGCAGATCTAGAAGTCTTCAGTCACATTGCTGTATTTTCAACATAATATATTTAGGTATTGTCTAAGCAAAGACACTGCTGATCCCTAGGTGATGCTTGATGGAAAATATAGTCTTGCCAGACTACTTTTGTGAGGCTTCAGCCCATCTTCACACCAAGAGTCAGATTATGCTTCTTGGTATATTTATATGAACTGCTCAGAGTGCATGGAAACTGCAAGATGGCTATAGGCACTTTCTGTACTTAGTCTATGCAAGGCTCTCTAGCAGTCAGCCACATTTGGCTTTGAGAGCCCATCTCTTCAGAAACCATTTCTTTTGCTAATAAAGGTAAGAGTCTTGGGCTACTCCACATCTCTAGTGATCTGCTTTAAGTGGAGTTTCTGAACTACTCACAACTAATGTCATGCTGCACAGTGTAACTAGTTTTTTGTTCACCCCCCAAGAGTTGGTGCATTACAAACAGGAAACCGCTGAACCATTGTCAAAAGATTG